GAGCGACTTTGCACGTCGGTAAAGTGAGTCTTATCTCAGCTACTACGGTTTTTTGTCCGGCGAACGTGAGAACAACTTACAGGTGAAGCGCGACGGTTCCGAAAGTGAGTGGTGCATCAGAACATCGCAGGACCACCGGACGGCGACGGCAAAACCTCCTCGTCCGCGCGGCCGCGGGAGTGGACGTAGGGGCGACAGTCGGGTGTCAAAGACTTAAGGCGTAGACTAGCATCTAGGAGATACGTTCTTCTCCGTGAAACTTACTCGGCCTGACGTCACTAATCTAGACAAAGAAGCCGAACGTCGTAGGCTAACCGACCCAGGTAGTCCGGGGTTATGAAACACGTAGTGTGGCCACTCTTTACACTTCGAGGCAAGACATTACCGGAACACTTCAGGTTGTCTAAGTTAAAAGTGTAGTCGTGAACGAGGGTACCAAGGCTAGAGAAAGTCCTTCAGGTGGTCACGTCACACACTGAAGTCGTGGTGTCTGTGGCACAGTTCCACAGGCCAGGGTAGCGACGAGATTGTCGGAAAATTCGAAGAGAGGAAACATGACACGCCGATGTCACCCGAAAAAGTATTTAAATATTTCCCTTAACGTGTGAAGTTTTTTTTAGGGGTTGACGTGAGAGACTCCTTTATCGTACGTGCTAGTGGTTTACGTTAACCACCAACTTTGTTACCTACATTCCGTGAAGAGACAAATTGAATAAAACTTATTCGAAGACGTACGGAGGGAGAGCAGGGCTGTACTGCGACCGAGGCAGTATTGTGACTGATTCTTAAACAAACGCAGTTCCGGTCGTAAACTGTCAAGTAGTTCGTGTTGTAATCACTCACTGACCCGTAGTGTAAACAGGCAACAGACGTAACTATTGTCGGAGAGAACGTAAAACATCAGGAACAGGTATATTGCGTGTTGATATCTATGTAAAAGTGACGGACAGCCCAGAAATCAAGGTAGGTGGAACTCACATTTGGTACTGAGGGGCTGTAGAAATTGTTAAACGAGACAATGCTAGCACGAGTAGTCAAGTTACTACACTAAAACTTATAGTACACTACACATTCAACGCAAAAAACCTTAACATGACTTTCGGAAACGTTCGAGAAACCAAAACGGAGTCGCACATTAGTTTGTCACTCTCTTTGTCAGGCGAAGGGTCAAGTAGAGACGATAACTGACTTAGGTGAAGTGGGGAGTCACCGTCAAGCAAACTCTGTTCTTTAAGTTAATACAGTTGTTAACCGTCTGTGTATGTCCGCCAAAGCGCGTTTCGACTACTCTCAATTGGTACCAACTTTAAAGTGACCGGACACAACCGTAGGCGTAAAAGGAAGAGAAAGGTCGATTGTAACGTACGAACTACACGAGAAACGACAATGACACGGACGATTTAGGGAAACCGAATAGTAATCGTACGAAGGTTAATCATATGGGTCAAGAACACTTTTTGCCTCAGTGAGGGAGGTTTAAGGACGTCCCTTTTGTTTTCCGACGTAGAAGACCGACGCTTTATAAGTTCGGTCAGAGAGAAGCAACATGGTAAATCGGCTTTTACTGGCAAATGTCAGTAAATAATACGACAAGAAGAAAACCTTTGACGGACTCTACTTGGACTCGACCGAACAGTTGAGGCTCCCAGAAGACATTTTGGTACGACACTCACGCTGCCGCCCGAGAGCCAGGGGGTCACTTGGGCCGAGTGAGAGGAGTGACGCTCCGACTTGGGCGCCGAGGAGGGAGCCGTCCACAAGGAGCAGGAGAGGCCACGAGGACGACGACGACGACGGTCCGCCGCCCCTACGGCGCTGCCACACCAACAAAGACCGAAAAGTCGGTAAACCTTATAGGTAAGACAGGTATCTGACATATTTTATAAGACTTACAGGCGAAAACTTAATTTTATCGACGATGCAACGAAGCAAACACAAAACCAAAATACCGCCCTACTGCGTGACTGGCAGGTCACTGGCAGTTAATGCAGAGTACTGCATTTGACGCATTTAACGTTTCGACAAAAAAATAAATGGTGACGACAAGTAAAACCAAACAGTCCACCTCAAAAAGACAACAAAAATTGTGTACAAGTATTTCGACAACATTATTTTGATTTTGTGTTATTTTTCTTTATTTTTTTTATGATAAAACTAATCCTCAACGCCTGTACAGGCGACACTCGCCGGCCGAACGGGGAGTGCGGAGGGGGAGAACTGCGGCCCATGACCACTCTACATTCTCCTGTCTGAAGTGTTCAGACTTCTCCCGCATTCGTTTGTCGTCTACCGGAGAGTCTTCTATGACGGGTCATCGACCGGTGACCAATAAGTCGTCTGGTACTTGGTTAATCTCGAGTGTACACCGTAACAAGGAATGATTTAGAAGATCAGGAGATCAGGATGTTGATCGTCATATGATATCCATTCGATTAAAAGTACTTGTCGTAACGATTACTCCCTGTACAAGTATTGTCAGGACTTTCATCAGTTTGATCTACCAAATGTACTTTGTGTTAGACACACGTGCATCGATCAAGTACTACATAGTGCAATGTTAACTTTCAACAACTTACGTTCACTTAGTTCGATTAACAAGTGACATACATTATGTTCGGACATATGGAAAAAATGTTTTAGTCCAAAAAGGATGGTGTACGAACTGTTCGTCACGGAACTTGCTTGGATGGGAAATATGCTGAGTAATCCGTATGACATTTGTTGAAAGGGCGAACTGTTTTTATCTGTAATTTTCTGTCTAACTTCAGGTAACGGAAGAACTTAAACAATTGTAGGTAGTTTGTCCGTAGAATGTAGATACGGAGCCGTCTACGAAAACCCTGTAAGTCGCGTCTACAGATTGTCTCGACGGAATGATTATTTTAGGTTTTCTTTCACTAAGAGTGAGATAAGGTGTAGGAATTTGAAAATTCAATACCATAAACAGTTTAGGTCATCCGTTTAGGTTTAGACAATGTGGTCCTCTATAGCAGAAAACTGTTATATTCTAAAAGGATAATTAGATGATATCACTTTATTACGTGGGAAAGGACGGATCACTAAAACTGATGTTCAAATACTTGCTACACCCGGGGTGTGTCAAACGGAAGTTTTTATCTATGACAACAAGAGAAAGTCTATGGAACAGACCTCTATTGCTCAACCATAGAGGGTACTTAAGTGTGATTGTAACAGTACGGTAATATGCGTCATAGTACAGATCAGTCACGGCAAAAGGAGGTCGTACGTCTGATAGACCAAACCACCTCGCATCATTCAGTACAATGTAGTGACAGTAGTATCTGGTTAGTATACTGGAAGCGAAGACATGAGGGTTCAGACCGCAGGTCATTGCGTCACGTCACCCTACCGAACCACCAGGTACTAACCTCCGTAGACTCGGGTGAACCAAGTACACTTCTTACGCACACCCGACACCTCTGTACGTGATGTCTACCCCCACTTAACTCTCTCCAAGAGATATTTATGTCACCTAGAGATCACAAAGTTTTTTAGTGTCTGTGATGAAAACACTGACAACTTATGGTAATACATGTTGTTTTTGCTTAAACAATATTGATAGTTGACTATCTTTTAGTATTAGCGATATGTTAATAAATCCGTTGGTAAAGCTGAGAAGAAAGATAAGTTTGTGCTACGTACACGAACTCGAAAAAAGTTGTTTAGCAGCTGACTTTAGTATATTGAGCTGAATGTAGTCTACTGACCAAAGTGTCCAGGTGCTGTCGCGACATCTTAGCCGTAGTCGCTTACGGAAAATACAAGTCTAGACGGCCCAACCCGGACTGACGCATGTCTGAGCGCACTTAATAAAGTACTGCGATCTATATTTTCAGCATTAGCATACTGAGAGAGAGAGTTGTATCACCAATTCTTGCTCTTTGAGTATAACGCAATAGTGTGTATGTCAGATCGGCTTTGCAGTCATAATCATGATCGGTATTTGTGTTATCAACTTGCCTAAAGGTGTCCACTGATTGAATAGTATTTTGACATGGAAATCAACATCAGGACGAGCAACGTATCGCTGTTACGAGTCTCCCATTCCCAGAAAAACTCTGCAGAGAGCGTTCGTCACAGAGTACTTGTCGCCGCGCTCCCGTGTCTGGTGTAGTTCCAACTGTTTTATCGCAAGATCGGTAGCACGCAGGCGTGTTCACGTACGAGATTGATAGCGCTGCTGAGCGATTGGGCCAGTGCCTCTACTTACGGCAAACCGCTCGTATTACATCTAATTATTCACAGCGGAGTGTGTTTCATGAGGATGGGTGAGAGGAGTAGACGGTTTGACGCCAGGCCACATCCTCTGATTCAAGCATCCGCACTGACAACCCTGCATCTCCTATGTGTGAGGCGCGTGAGACGTCGTTCCGACGAAATCGGAGTCGGCATCCAGCCGTAGCAAAGTAGCTTCTACCCGACCTCGGCCACCGAGGCTTCTTCTCGAAGAGGGTACTCCAGAGCGACTGAGGCAGTACGAAAGAACTACCGTAGGGATACCAACACCATCACTCAGCAGCCGAGATCATCAAGCAATACAGACACGTAGCAAGATGCGCCATAAGCCCTATGCCCCCATGTACACACCTCGTGGCGGGAAGCGTCTATCCCTTGCCCAACAATAATACGTACTTACTAGAGAGTGTGCTTCATTTTTTGGTGAAGTAGAGTTCCCGTTATACAGAGAGCGAGAGGGAGTGGATTGCGAGAAAGTCCGGAGTGTGAGGTACAGCGGGAAAAGAGGGTGCGACGCGAGAGGATATCTAGCGCGCGAGCGAGAGGTGTCGCCGCGGCGACGGAGCGCGACGACAATCGCATATGCGACACTGACCACAGGCCACAGCGAGCAGCGGTGTATACTACAAGTGGGGATTTTTGTAGATGATTGCTAGTCTCTTCACTACACGTAGGCGCTCGCGTGTCTTTGGTGCCTGAGGGTCCCGCCCGTCTGTCCGTCCGTCGACACAGTCTACTCCTACACGCGCCTGGAGTGGTCGAGAGCTAGTAAGTGGAATCGTCGTCGCGACGACTAAGTAAAGGCGGGCCAGCAGCAGAGGTATAGCGTGCGCGATGCCGGTGTACGGGGTCTTTGAGACTAAGGCCGGGAGACCACAGCAGGCGCCACCGGCAGACGTACGTAGCTTACTAGCTGCTCGCCGAGGTTTGGTAAGAGACTTTGTGTTTGTGTATTGCTAGTCGTTCAGATTTCCAACGCTTTACCCCCTACGCTCGTCTTATATCACCTTGACTACAGTCACTCGTACACCTGTCTCTCGTTGAGGCTAGAGACTCAGACTACGGCGATGTCTAATACGCGGGACGGTCTCGGGACTGCTTTACAGCGAGGCGGACCTGCCGGCCGCGTTCATACGAAAAATCAGACACGTCTGTCTATGTATCGCGGCTGCGCGCGCGCGGGGGGGCGCGCGAGGGCGCGCGACTAACTCATCTCCACTCAGTGACCCACGTGAGCCTCCACTCGGGCAGTGCAATGATAGACGGTCTGACGCGAATGGTTCCCTTTAAGCGGTGCCTATACAACCGCCCAGTCCGTAGAAGTCCGTCCCATAGTGTGTCTGTCACAACCACGCCGTAAGTTATTCTGACATTTGCAGTAGCCCGACTGTAATGCGCCCCTGTTGTCTCTCTTGGCCCACCATGTTGAGAGGAGAGCGGTATCCGTTTGCTTGTTCTGACCTGGCAGGCACAATAGAGACGACAGTAGCGACAGTCCTTCACTGCCATCACATTCCCGAACAGCATATGTGTAATCGGAGCTCGACGAAAAAATAATGGTTAACCTTACCATGGGTACAGACAAAGTAATCTATATTCTTCAAAATCTATGCTCTCACGCAAAAAAGTAGTCGTACATAATCGTAAACAGATTACTGTTAGTCTATTCGAACCTACACACTTAATCTCTATTTTTGACACTTATTTTTTTTTGTTGTATCGTTCACTTTAAGTTGGTACATTAGAGATGAGTCCGATAAAACTAACTCCCCCGCGCCTGTAGGTCGCAACTATCACCCGCAACGCACTTAGGCTTGGAGAGCCGTGTAAGAAGTCGAGAGGCTGGGGCGGTGACTCCCACTTCACTAGTCAGTTATCGTCTCTACTGGTGAGCCATGTAATCATGAGAGAGCGTGGCTCGCAACATGTGCGACTCCGGTTGTATCTGCGCGCCCCCGACGTCTCCAAGATCGAAAAACGCCAGCCTGGACAAGTGACGTGTTCTTTTGCCGCGACTCCATGTTAATTTGTCATGTGTAGGTAACTAGATCATAGTAGTGTGATAGTACTTGAACTACTGTGCTCATTGCGTCGTTTATTCTCAGCCCCTCAAGTCCATGTGAGTTCCACTCTTGATTTCTGAGGCTGTCCGTACCTTCCTTCTTAGAGAACTCTATTACAGTAACGACGAAGATCCAGTACTTGGAGTATCTGCTGTTTAATTCGACGTATCTTACTAAATGTCGTAATTAACCGCGGTTCTCAAAGGCCCCCCCACCACACTTTGGAATTACGAATCCACAAATCTATTCTCCGAACGACGAAATTTGCTACCGACCTTATGACTTTTCTAGATTTCAAATTATAACGAACAAATCGTTTGCTTCTGAGAGTAATAATACAGTGTGTATTTTATTACAAACTCGAATCCTTTGATCGGATACCCATTTGCCGCCCACCAGATATGGTGAACAAATAGTATTTTGATTTGTCATTTATCCCTTTACATAAGACCAATTTCTAATTACCTAAAGGTAGGGATCTACTCCAATCAAATAACACTTTATGAAAGTTTTTTTGGTTCCATAAGTTGATACATACAAACTTCTTGTTTATTGTTCTTGTGTTCAGGTCAAAACAAAAACGAAAATCTAATTTACCAGGTAATGTTTTGACAAGTGAAATCCAGATCAAACTGAAAACTGATAAATTCCCTCTAAAAATCCTAATTAAAAAAATCTGTAAGACTGTAAAAACTTTGTACAACGGAATAAGTGAATCTATTCCTGTCAACGAATTCTTGTAAAAGACTTCTCAACTTTATAAACCAAGGAAGCATTATAAAGGATACAATTCTTTATTAAAATCCTCAAGTCCGACTACGACGTTAAACCTTTTACAACCGCATCAACCACACGTACTACATTTGTTTTCAAAAACAAACCAAGTTGGAGGTCAATTGAGACTACTGTCATTATTACTAACTAAACCGGATTTCGAACTCAATATGTAGGACTACATTGTAATACCCCAAAACCAAAGTGGTAACGGACTTATATAATGATATCTTTCCTTGAAAAATCCCCCTTTTGATTGACAAACAAAACATGCAGTCGTTACGATCGTAAATTTTACCGTCATTTCCCGATCTTGTGTCGTGTGCAACTCAAAAAACTTTTTCGGTATATAAACCTTCCTTAGCACCCCAGTGACTTGGGTAAGGACGGACACCGAAAAATCCAGAATGAACGTCGGAAGTGTACCCCTCCGTTCCGGTAGCTAAAAATACTCAACTTTCTGTACGGCAAGCGGGGAAAGCTTACCTAGGTAACAATTAATCAGCAGACTTTGGACATGAATCACAATCTTCCATTTCTGCACGGATGAATTTCCACTGTTAAGGATTTTAAGTTGATGTTTGGTAACTAACTTTAACTGAAGACAAAAACTTAGGACTACTTCCTTCCTCGTTAACACCGTACAGAGCCTGGTAGGAATCCCAAGGTTGTGACGATTTCCTCAAAATCTCACAAAAGAATTTACTTCTGGTCTTACTTATATTTCTCATATTAACCTCGATACTCCCGTCCGATGTGTCTAGGATCATTACCAAACTGAGTCTATTATCAATACACGTGTTTCAAAGAACCTTTCATCTAGATAATCTGTACAGAATTTATAATCTACATCCAACAGTTATTTTGAACGTCCATCAGTATGATTCCTTCAAAGTAAAAACCGATTGTTTAAAGTCCTTTACACCCTTCGTCGGACAGGGCTACCTGTTCAATCTCTATAGACTGTTAATTTCAAGACATTAGTGCTTCATATTTACTACCGCGAGGTTATAACTGTCTAAAGAACATCTGTTTCCTATAACCGGATACGACTTTATAAGTTTAGAGACGTCTCGTGCTGTGTCCGGTTTTTCTGACTCTTGTTTACTGGAAACTGGGACTGACTGTCGACACTGAACTCCTTTCGTGACAGTCTTACTGACTTGAGACCCACGTGGACTGGTTCTGAAAGTTGGACTGTCTCATCACCCTACATACAGACGTACACAATATATGTCAGCTTTGGACGCTTTGGACCCCGCCAGTGTGATTTTCCTGGAGGCTGAGAAAGTGAAACCACTACTGGATTTAACAAACACAGACATGGTTGAGGCACAGTTCACAGTTGCGCGAGAGTTTTTGAAAAGCCGGTGCACAGGCCAGGGAGTAGAGAGAGTGACTTTGAGTCACCTTGTTGCAAAGGAGTCCAGGGTATTAAGTGCCATGCCAGCGGTAATGACAGCATTCAAACACGCACTAACATTCGGGGCATCAACTGCTACATGTGAAAACTCGTTCTCCACGTTGAAGAATGTATTTAGTGAGCACAGACGCAACATGTTGCATCGACGCAAAGCCCATCTCATCCAGCTGGCCTTTGAGAATGACCTCAGTAGGAAATTCAAAGATGAGTTGAAGGAGATGCTGCTGAGGAGGTTCCACTCGTCAGGAAAGAGGAGACTGCAACTCTACTGAAGGTAAGAGCTGGTTATTTTATCATTTGTATTGTTGCTACTGTTTGTTAGCAATGTGGTTATTGATCATCCGTTGTTGGATATGTTAGATCAGCGCCTCTGATCTGTGGAGTCTGTTTTGATGTTGCTCCGTTATGTTTTCTCATTCTATGCAGCATCATGTGCACATGATGCTGTGACTCACCGCCCCCCCTCGGTTTTCAGCTGCCCCCCCCCTCTGTACTGAGCTGGAGCCGGGACTGCTACAGACGGAGTTCACTCCGCCACGGAGGGGTAGGGTCGAGGGAGTGGTTTGGAATTGGGCCTTAGTGATGAAAATGGGGGATACTTGGCTTATCTGGCGCCCGGAGCTCACTGCCAAAATGCTAGTGAGCGAGGGAGAGAGGGAGGGTGCACCGCCTCCGGTGCTGTTGTTATTAGAATCTGGTGCTAGCTGCGGATATAAGAAGAAGATGTGTCTATAGATTCTACAATAATGTGGAGGGAGAGTCCTCTCCAGTCAGACTAAGAGGCTGATAACTACAGCTCACTGAGGTAAAGGACTCTGAGTGTTTAGATAGTTAACTTTAGTCTAAGTTCAAACGGTTTGGTCACAATTTATGTAAACACATATTTCCAAGGCACTCCTTTATAATTATTGGGATAAACAGGTTTGAAATAATTTCAATGTATACTAAAGGACAGTAACCAAAAATATCCTTTTAAGACTGCAGAGATAAAAAAAAATGCATAAATAAATAAATGTTAAGGTAAAATAAGGTATGAATGAACAACACAAATAAAATAATTTACATTCATTTCTTATTGGCTATGGTAAGTTATTGGTTATGTTCACATGCTTATTTGAATACTTCCACTTGTCTAAGATGACAGCAGAGACTTTCGACCCAAAACCAGTTGTTGACTTGTGGATGCAAGCAGCTAATGGCAGACTCAACCAGTGAGAAAGTAGTAGGCCTACATCATCACCATGTCTGACAGAGAGGAAGACAGTGAGGAGAGCAGTCAGGAGAACAGTCAGGAGGGTATGATGACAGCTTGTAGGATTACTGGTCGTGCTAATGTTGTCTTGTGTTCACCTCTGCATGTATGTTCAGTGCCGTGTCTGGCAAATAAAGTCAAGACCCCCTCAAAAGTTACGGTTTATTTCATTTTAAGGATGAGCACCAAGCAACATCTCCAGGTGGTCCTTTGAGAACCAGGGCAAAAAAGTTATGTGCACCCCTGTTGATAACACACAAGGGGACGGGTAATAACCGGGAAAAGCATGACATGTGTCCTTTTTAATAACTCAGCCCATATGTTTTTTTATTAACCAGGAATAGATTTTTACTGTGGAATGAAAGTGATTACCACGTCCTGGATTCAGGGGAAATAGAAAATGTGCAAACACTTTCACTGAGTATTAATTCGGTGCAGACCTTTTGTCAACTAATGCGGTACCACCAATACCCAGACATGCTGGACATGTGAGCATTGTCTTACTCTAGATATGTTGAAATAGTTTGTTTATCAGAATAACTTTGCAAACGAAAGCAGAAATGTACTACAAAGTGAACCCCAACTGTAAATAATAAAAGGTTCACTTTCAACCACTGATTTATGAGGGCATGTTTATAAATCCTAATCTTCATCTGTTCTACATATGACAGTAAAGCCTGGCCACATGGAAATATTTTCCACTCACCAAAGGCCTTCTTGGGCCCCACCAGGCGGAGAGTAAAGGGTATGCCTCTCGGTTGCTCTTTTAGCATCTTAGCCACCTCGTAGTGTCGACAGCCTACAATGCTCTGGTCATTGATGGCCTCGATGTGGTCTCCAACACAGACTGTTTTCAGCTGGTCTATGGTGCTGCCTTCCTTTATCCTCTGAAAGAAACATATTGGAATGTTTGCCATGTGTCTCACATTAGATTATCAGTTTGAAGCCTTTTGCACATTTGTGGCAGGGCTCAGACGGTTTAGCTCTTCCACTCGTTCACCTTGATGAATGCATATCCAGCTCCGTTGTCTGTGATAGTAAGACCCAATGCGTCTTCTGTCTTTGTCACCTCCACCTCCTTGGTCTCCCCTCTGACGTGAGCGAAGATGAAGTCTTCCAATCCGATCTGGCCTCCCAGTAGTTTCTGCATGTCCACTTTATGGGAGTTGAGGGTGCAGAAAAGAATCTAGAGGTAGAAATAGAACAGTACAACTGTAGAATAACTATTGTTTTCAATTGAGTTTTCTCTGTTCTATTTATAAATATTAATAACATTAAAACATACCTTTTACCATTTTAAAGTGCTACCCTGAATCCGTAATGACTTTAAATTAATCCATTAGTAAAAGCTATTAACTTTTTTTATTTAGTTCCATTTCCCAAGGAATTCACTTTTTTTCTTTTGGTGAAAACGTGTGTTGTTGTTAAATTATGGTTTGATCCTCCCTAGCAAGTAACTTTTTATGAAATGAATGACATATGTTTTGCAAAACATAACAAATATGCTTCCTTTTACAATACAAGTGGTGGTTATAGTTTCTGTGGTGTTCCTGTAACATGCACTGGTGTTTCATTTTCTTCCTCCTGTTAATGGAGCCAAACATCATTCCTTTAGCTGTGCTGTATCAGAATGAAACAGCAGAGGGCAGTAGAGACAACAATTTGCCATTGTGGCCATTTTGTTAGGAGCTGTGTGAAAAAGCATTGTGAGTGTTTATATATTTTAAGATGAGATGGTTAAGTCAGTCAAAGCACATAAACACATTTTTCTGATAGTTTTATCGATAAAGTGCTTAAATCATTGTTGTAATGTGTGTAGTGTCTCACAAAATTATGATAATAAGAGAATAAACACTTAAGCTAAAGACATTTTTCTTCTAAAACATGACATTTTAATAAATCTCAAGATCACACTATTAGATACCAGACATGTTTGAGATGAAATGTCATTTAAAGAAAAGCTTTTTACATTTGTATAGCTGTATTGAACTTGTACATTTCTAATATCATGTCTTCAAACTCTTGAAATAAAAATGTCTTACTGTACAGTTTATTTATAGTTTGGAACTGTAATTGCCTTTGGTGGGATTTGCAAAAACAAAAGCTATTTCAAAACAAAGCCTTCTGAAATCTGAGGTTAGAGTTTAAGTTTGACTTAATAATCCAAGCCGGAAAATTCAAGATAACCTATTTGAACTGTTATCTCTTTTGTAGCAGTTCCTGTTAGTTAGCCTATTGCCCACACTATTTTCCCAGGTAGAACATTCAGATTACATTCCAAGGACTTCTTTGCCGTCAAACTGTGTTGTAACATTACGCTTTATGCAATTCAGTACAGGAGTTCAAGGGAACTGCTATACATCTCACTATCACCGACTAATTGCTTGTTATTTCCCATAGAAAGTCTTGTATCTTGAATTCTGACTGTAGTTCAAGGTCTTGTAGATAAACAGGACGCTAAATCAACAAATATTTAAATAATGCCCGGCAAAACCATTTGTTTAAGAATAACCAATGTTGATTGTAAAACAAAGCATGCAAGACCAAAAAAGGTGTGTACATTAATCATTTAGATGTCTGGTTTATTTGTAAACTGTTTTTTGTCTGACATTTTCTGACATGAAAGATTTATTTTAACTATTATTATTATTATTATGTATTTGTTTCAGTGTTATGCTCTACTGATAATCGATCAAAACATGATATAAACTTCTTATTTTTTCCGAATTGCTGGAGATTATCCCAGCATACACTTTGCAAAGCTGACCCTGGACTGGTTGCCAAGAATCCACATGTTTACATGTAAAGGAAGATAAACACAATAACAGGGAATGAGAGTTGTATGCTAAGTGTTTAAACTGAACATGTAATATCAGAAGAGGAGTAAAAGTGACAGATATGTTTTGTAGGTGTGCTTATTTGATGTGGTTTGATTACCTTGGTAAGTGAACATGGGTTGTTCATTAACATGTAGCGTGCAGGCATAAACCTTGTGTTACACAAAGAAAACAGCCTTCACAAGACATAATCACAGCTGGTAGCTGCCTGATAAGATCTTTAACGTTAGCTATGAAATGTACTGTATATTGGTCTACATCCCTTTATCTCCAGTCATTCAAGTCCAACAGGCAAGGATACATTGAAAGGAAAACCTTCATAGTGGCCTTCAAACACGCTACTGATAAGTATTAGATAAGGCCAATGTTGAATATTTGTTGCTCTGTCACCACAACATACTGTACTGGAGAACCATGCAGGCCACTGTTATTCTTAACAAAAAGGTAACACTATTTAAATGCAATCCTTGTAGTTTGGAATTGAACTGCACAAATAACGTAAATGAGAGTTCAGTAAACCAATTTCTACTCACAAAACGTGCACAGGCACAAGACAGACTATCAGTTTAAGTGCTTTGACAGTCTTTACTCAACTATTCATTTCCTCCTATGCAAACTTTGATACATTTATGGCATCTTTTTCCAGTTGATCTGGAAAAAAAGGCCTGTAGTAAAAACGAACAAATGAAGCCATTGATAATTCATTCTGTGAAATGGGCCTGTGACGGCCTTGGGCTTGTGGACAGCCCTGACATCTAAACAGTTTAGTGACTAGACCTCTCCTCAAGGGTTCTGGCCTTGTGAGCAGCTGCCTGCTGCGTAACTTGACTGCAAACCACACATTTGATCCCCTACCCTGCTATTACTTAACTGTTTAGTCCTATACCATTTTGGAAATCAGATTTACTTGTTATGTTGTATGTGTGGTATTTTGCGACTACATAACATTTTCCAGTTAATATTTGTTTCCGTTATTGATCCTGGTCAAGGCGCACACAAGTACAAAGTCTGGCCGACAAAAGTTAGGTTTAAATGGTCTTCGATAGTGCATCATGGAAAACAGCCTAGAATGGAAACCTAACTATTTGCGGCTGGCCTATCAGACCAGAAAGGAAAAGAGAAATAACACCATCAAACTCCAAAAAACACCATCAGTATTTGTATCTTGATAATTTCTCAAAACACTGGAAATGTCACTTATTAGCCTAATCATAACATGCGTGGCAGAATTAGTTTGGTACCTCTGAGGGGGAGATGTGGAACACTTCAGCGATCTTGGCGTAGAGCTCTTTTACGTTGGTGAATCCGTGGATGCGGCCTGTGGGACTCCCATGAGCCAGCTGGGTGTGGAAAATCAGCCTCGGTCTCGGGTATTCTGGTGGCCCTGGTGGTGGTGGTGAAGGGGGAGGAAGTGGAGGGGCTGTGGGCTCCGCACTCCCCTGATTATGGCTCTGGTTCTGGGCCTTCTGCTCCTCCATTGGCTCTGCCACTGCTGCCTTGGAGTCCTGAGGGCTCATAGCCTCCCCGTTCTGCATCGGGCCACGGCTCAGGTAGGGTCCTCCTCTGGGAGCCCCGGTGCTACACTGCTCTGGGAAAGAGAGACTCTGGCCTTTTCCCCTGCTTAGCAGACCAACCACCCAACCAAATAGCCACCCAGTGCTTTGGGGTGAAGAGCGCAGATGAATAAGTGATAAGTGTAGCCTGGTAACAATAGCTGGAAGAGGACAGCTAGCCCTGCTGGGCAGAAACCCAACACCCTTTGAGTTGAGGACTGCATGTGTTACACCTGAGCCTCTGGCAGCTCACGCATAGAGAACAGAACAAAAAACACATTAGGTAAAGGTTTCTTCATAGACACAACACAGTTAAAACTCTAATCCCCCATATCAGTCTGGGAGGAAGACATACATGATCCTGAATATGCGAACATCGCTTTGAAGCGTGAAAATGCCAAGCATATGCAAAACGATTTCCAAAGTGGGCAGCTTGGAGATGGCAACAGACAAAGTCCCAGTGTAACAGGTAAGATGATATCATTGGGTATGGAGCAAGGTGCTCTCCCCTTTGCTGGCCTCTTAAATGAAATTGGCTGTTGCTGGGGTGAATCCTTGGTGATGCTCTGACCTATTTGACCCCACTGACAGCCCACAGATACAGAGGATGACAGTTACAGCCGCTAAACACATGTTTAATTCATCTGGGTAATTCGTGCTTCTGGCAAGGTTTTTAAATATCAGTTTTCAACCTGAATGTACGAAAATGTGTGTACACGTGACAGCCCTTTAATTAAATAAATAATACTAAAAGTTGTTGTTAAACTTGTAGAAACGATTATATACTTTATAAATAAAAGATATATATTGAAACATATTACTTAATTTGCCTGGTAAAGTTTTTTTTACAAATAATCTTTTTCATATTGGATAAACACTGAAAGGTTATAAACAACATATTTCTATTTTCACACATTTTCTCAAGTGATGCATTAATCAATTGCAAACCAAAGATGCTGTCATGCATGGACACGGAAAGCTATCTACCTCTCTATCAGATCGGGAAATTCCACAAAAATCCCATTTTTAAATGTCAGCTGGGAATGTCTAAATTACCTTTAAACAAAAGATTCTTTCAGGCTGAATGGCACTGCAAAAGAGGTTTGAGATGCAGAAGTAGTCGACTGATTTCAGGACTGTAGCCCAGGACTCTACTGGACTCTTTCCTTTAGAGCTGTACTGATCTTTAGGACTATATTGATCCAGGACTACACTGATCCATGGCTTTACTAATTCAGGACTGTACTGGTCCATCAGTAAATGCCTACCATGTTTACATTATTTATAATATTAAGACAAACATGTAAATTCCATTTATTGTATAGTAAAGGGCTCAAGCCTTTTATGTATCTGTTTTACTGCTTCATAAGCATTCTTTTCCACCTGTGCTGTAACGTGCATGGCTGCAGCTGTTTGTGCGTCACAGCCTTGTTTTTTCCAGGCCAAGGTGTCGTCAGCCTCTGAAGGTCAGAGTGTTTAGATCATCAGCTGATACTAATGATCTTCCTAACAAATCATACCTTTTCAAACAGAAACAAGGCAGACCGCTAAGTGAAGGACATCTCCTTTTCTTTTATTGCAGAAAGATGACTTAGCATTAATTAGTCACATCAGTGATAACTGACCGACTTGGTTCCCAAGATGTGTAATTGGAAGCACAAGTTCCAATATTTGTTGGAAACTATTTGCTTAACAAGATAAGACCTCTCTTTTAAAGTTGTCAATATCAAAAAGTGGCTATTGCACAATTCCAAAGGACTTTCATCCACCTTAAATAAAGTTAATTGATATTCACAGACAAACAAATCAATCAAAAGGTTTATTTAGCTCACAATTGTCTCTGAAAGCCTTATTTTTTTCTAGTAAAAAAGGTATACCATTTTTCTTAAGGTATATTTGCAGCCACTGATTCAGTACAGGTTAAGGCAAAGCCTTTTTTGCTCATTTTCAAACTCAGCTCTGATTATGCAAGTAAAATGTAAATGTTATATAACAGATTAGGAACTTAACATCAGCCTGCCAAAGCCTTAAGTACTCTGCAGTGGGTATGTATTACGTTACGGAAAAGTACAAGAGAAAGTATTAAGACTTCAAATATGCTTCCCCTGTTTGCAAAAGCATATTTCAATGACGCCCTTCTTATGTGACTTTTCTCTCATTGACTCTGAATAGATGGTGTGCAATTAACAAATATTGACGACATCAAGAGTGATTTATTCTGGGCTAATGACTCAGATGTGTGGTTTTATGCGACTTAAAGCATTTATAGTGACATATACAAATGTTTCTTATATTTTATTTCCTTAAACCTTTATGGTTTCCTTGATACACGGTTTTCATCCAGCAGTGTTGGTCTAGTGTGCTGAATGTGATTTTACATCAAATTGATATCTGACTGACTGACGCACAGTGCCTCTTTACAAGACAGCGCCTCAAGGTTTTGATATAGTGCATCCTTCATATTCCAAAACGAATGACCTCAAACCAATTGACACACTGTGATGCTGGGGCTTTTTGTGAGTCCTGGGTCTTTGCGTAGTTCCCCACGTTGCCCAATTATCTATCCAGCTTTCTCACTGATGAATCACACACAAGAGGCTGTTATTTACATTTGATCTACAGCCCCTTACTGCGTCACATCCTTCTTTTTGAAGCGTGATTTCTTCCTCTCTATCGGCTTTGTTTTAATGGAGAGGGAGATGGAAGGGGAGACCGTGGGCTTGGCGGTGTAGGCCAGATTGTGTGAGTGGGTGGGTGGTGTGTTTGGTGTGTCATGATGTGATACACTGCCTCTTCTGTTTGTGGTGGTGTGATGGCGCCTGAGCTGCCTGGTCATAAAAAAAGACGTTTAGATGATAAGATTTGAGTGCATTTCCCTGAACGCCTCCTGATAATGATTGGCTTTTAAATGTATTCAAGGTCTCCATCAATAGAGTGGTGATATACTCTTGATACCTCAGTACTATTCACTATGACTTCTTATAATGCTGTTACTTATTTTCGTTCCATGGCTTTGAATGTATTTGATTTTATTTAATGTTACTGCACTAATCTTGTTTTTGGCTTTTTCTTCACCATATCTTTGCTGGAACAGAGTAAATTACCTTTCTGTGGGACAAATAAAGAATTTCTTCTGAAAGCTGTGTTGTAATAAGACTGAACTGTGTTGTACCGATTGTAAGGATGTGATGTATTTATGACACAAGGACACATTTGTGGACAATAACTACAATTAATCAATAGGCCATATTTTCCCTCTCACTATATAATATTCATTGCGTAACCTAACCAGGCCAAGGTCAAAATTGTGTCAGTGTATAAACACTTCAATTTCAACTGAATTTTGAATAGAAGAATAACCCAACCAGAACATCCTACCCCATCAGCATTGTGTCTCAATACGCCACCCCTCTAGAGCTTAATCCATTTGTAATCACATAAGGTAGTCACAAGAACCACCGTCATCCGTTGTGATGTACATTGTGACATAGCTGATGATTTAGCTTTGGCCTTGTGCCCTTGGTCTGCTGACAGCAGTTGTTGCCTTTGTCCCCAGGAAGATGAGAGGCCCCTACATTAGCTGCTTGCATAATACTAGGCTGAAATTAAGTGTATTATTCAGAGGCATCATAAAAGCCACCGACTGAGCCATTGACCAGCCTTCTTTCTGTGTCAGTGCCCTCCACTTCCTTTTATAAGAACAGGGACTTTGGTTATTATGATTCATGAGGTTACAGTGAATTTACAATTTGACATTATTGGTGAAGTCAGTACTTGTCTGCCACTGCTTCTCTTAAAGAGAAGGTTGGTTTGATTTTATAAAAATAACTACAAATATGAGTATCATATCAAGACATAAGAGCTATTTCCTGTTACAATTATTGATATTATGTTTTAGAATCAGATGTATGGTGTACATTTACAGGGCCTCAATACAATACAATGCAATTCTGCTTTAATATAGTTGGTTGATGTTAAGCAGAATGCAAAACAGGCCCCACCCTGGTGTGCCGACAGCAGTTTTGTTTTTTTGTATTGGATTGAGAATAGTGTGATGTGGCACGTTTGTTATAGCACAAAGTGTATTTACCAAGTTGTTCACAGGTGGAACGTAACAATCACATGTTTATCATTAGTTAAAAGGACACCGCTAGCACAATATATAAGTCGTGCTGTAGGTGTCAAGAGAGAGACCACCCTGCTACCATATAGGGTAATGGGCGGTCGCTGAAAGCCAACTACCCCGTTCTGATTGGAGGGCCAGTCTGACATGACCGATTTTTTTACAATCGTCATCGACGCTGATTGGTCGGCTGACTTCGTCCGATTTCGGCTCATTATCTTAATCAGCCGTGGATGGAGTGAGAGGGGGAAAAAGCAGAAGCCAAACAGGAACGGTGGAGTCTGGTGTGGACCGTCGTTTCTACACGAACCGACGACCACTGGCTGAAAGAAGAATGCTTGAAAACAAGAGAGAGAGATTGAAAACCTTCCTCAAGAAGATCGACGAAAAGGCCATCGTCAGACTTAAGCACTTCATGAAAGAAAGGTAAGCGAATGTGGCTAGCTGAACCGCTATCTGCCGGTGATCATCATCAGCCGGAGGATGCTAACGGTTAGCATTTCTTTGATGAGGAGACAACCTGTCTAATACAATTGAATTGTTTATCTCGCAAGATTTTCCTTTAACACAGAACCAAGAAATATCGTCTAGAATTTTACATCAGCTGTGCATAAGGGGTCAATAAGTATGTCAGTCAACGAGTAACGTTAGAAAATGCTAGCAGGTTAGCCACCCTCCTGGCTGAGGATGTGAATGCATTTAAATGACGTTACATCTAGCTAACATTACCATCATCAATTACACTATAACAACTGTACGTTGTGTTCATTGTTGTCTACTGAGTTTTAATATATCTGTGTACACGCTGGCTGGTGATAG